AGCCGTCATTGTTGTTTGGCGGGTCCGGGCTGGGGATTCGAACCCACCACCTTAAGTGTACGTGGCTGGCGCCTTAGCCGGTTGAGCTATAGGCGCCGAGCCCACTTCCAGATTCTAATACACAACTTAGAAACTTTGCATAGGCTGCTGCCAAAGGTTAGAATCTCACTCTTTGTCTCATCATCCTTGGCGAACTCCTATTCATCCTTCAAAGTCCCATCCAGTTACCACTTAACAGAGAAGGCTTCTTGGACTACTTCAACCACCCACCCACAAAGCTGGATCAAGGCTTTGTCTGGAAACACACACAGCCCTGTGTCCCAGTTGGAGTAGTGCATGTATCCCCTTGAATTATGACCATGCATGCCAGCATGGTCTATTTCTCAGTTAAGACTTTGCTTGAGGCTTGGTGCCTATGGCTCAAGCAGCTAAGGCACCAGCCACATACACCTGAGCTAACAGGTTCGAATCCAGCCCGGGCCCTCCAAACAACAATGACAGCTGCAACCAAGAAATAGCCCGGCATTGTGGAGGGCGCCTGTAGTCCCAGCTACTTGGGAGGCGGAGGCGGGAGACTAGCTTGAGCCCAGGAGTTGGAGATTGCTGTGAGCTGTGATGCCAGGACACTCTGCCCAAAAAAAGGCTCTGTCTCAAAATAAAAAAAAATAAAAATTAAAGAAAAGGTAGTAGTTTCAGATAGGACACATGGGGCAGTGTTAGCTTCTCAAGACCCTGTGGAGAATTCTGTTTGTTTCCTGGGACCTCCTAAGCAAGACAAAAAACAATTCAGGTCTCCAAGGGCAGATACTCCTTTTGGGCTTGGAAACAAACCCATGCACTCATCAAAAGAAGGCACTCTAGTGACGGAATAGGTGGGCGCGTGGTTGAAAAGGGGCTCTTGAGTGACGGATTTCCCTGGTAAGTTTCCAAGGCAGGGTTTTGCGGCTCCGCCCTGGAGTTACTGAGTCAGGCTATGCAGGGGTGGGAGCTTTGACTGGTATTTGGGAACCACGGGCTACGGTTTGGACAGAGGGAGGGGCCTCCTTTGCGGCCAGGGAAGGAGGAAGGAGGCAAAGGCCCTGGAACTAGGGCGGAGGCTCAGGTTTCGGTCTCACCTGCTGCTCCGGACCAGAGTAGGGGCAGGTGGGTGGGGCCTTGGGCCACCTGTGCCGCCCCAAGAAAAGAGCTGGGCCCCTTTTTTCTCTCAGACCCAGAGGCTCAGACCCAGCGGTCCAGTCCAGCCCCTCCTATCTTAGCCCCAGGAGTACCTATATAATTTTCTTCACCTGCACATGAAGAATGAGCCAGGGCAGCACCTGTGGCTCAAAGGAGTAGGGCGCTGGCCCCATATGCCAGAGATCACAGGTTCAAATCCAGCCCTGGCCAAAAACTGCAAATAAGAAAGAAGAAGAAATGAGCCTGCCCTCAGCCAGTTTGCATTTGCGTCATAGCCCAGGTTCACCGTGACCTTGGGCTATTGGCCTCCCCAGTGTGAGCCTCTCTTTTCTCCTGTCAATGGGGTAAGAGGTCTGATCTTTCCCTCAAACCCCAACCCAGGCAGGGCCGAGCTCAGAAAATCTTTATGGCAAGAATGTGATAAGTACACACAGTGACAGAAGCCAAAAGGGCCAAGCACAAGGACCCTCCTTCCTCTCCCGGCTGAACACAGAACTACCTGCTGGGCCCAGGTAGTTGTGTGGCCTGGAACACTCCGTCATCCCCTAGTCACCTCGGCTACCAAACTTGCCCTTCAGGTTGAGCTCTGGCCTCCTATCCTCCTGCAGAAAGCCTGCCCTGACCCTCTTAGCAGCCTTTTCGGGCCTTCCACTGAGTCCCTGTGTCCTCCATTGTAGCACATATAGGAAGAAAGGCCACCATCTCTGCCATTCCTAATGCTGACTGTGTCTCCTCTTTGCCAGGAACTGCAATGTGAGCTCAGCACCTACAACCTCCTTTATTCCTCCCAACATCATTATCACCATTTTACAGTGAGGGTCTGGGGCACAGAGAGGTTAGGTAGGTCTCCCAAGCTCACACAGCTAGAAAGGGATAAGGTCACAAGCAATAGCACAGGGTGACACCAAAGGATGCAGGGTCTAAATTGCATGACATGGGTACAACCACCACCTCTACGCACTAGTGGGGTTGCAGATAAACAAAATAGATGCCGTCATTCCCTCATCTGCAAAATGGTGATAATAGGACCCATTTTGTAGTCTGTGTGAGGATTATGCATATGAACACACACACATTTATAATGTGCAGAGAAGATGATAATAAGCAAACAATATCTTACCAAAATTATTAAATGGCAGAACTGGGATTCAAACCCACACCTGCCTGTGCTCTGTGCCATCACTCCACCACACCAAGTATTCATCTCTCCCTCTGCTCCTTCATCCCCAGCAACCCAGGGCAAACCTTCAGCAGAGACTGTGGAGCCATATGTTGAATAAAGCAATAATGCACATGAATGCACCAAATGCCAGACGCTCATTAACACATATCACCCCACCACTCACTATGTGCAAGAGCAGGTTCCATGCCCCTTGGGTTAAGTGGGGGGCAGACAAAAGTCTTTGTCTGCACAAAACTTATATTTTTAGAACAAGGGAAGACCAAACAAAATGAACAGGCAACATGGTATGTAAGAAAGTGATGAGTAGGGGAAAATAAAGATGGAGAGAGGGGAAGGACTATAAAGAAGAGGTTAGGTATGATGCCTTTTTAAACAGGATGGTCAGCCAAGCCTCTCTGAAAAGGTAACATCTGAGTGAAGATCTGAAGAAGGTGAGGGAGCAAGCCATGAGGATATCTAGGGGAAGAGCATTCCAAGCAGAGGGAACAGCAAGTGCAAAGGCCGTGAGGCAGCTCTGGGTCTGGATGTTCAAGGAGCAGCAAAGAGGCCCATGTGTTGAAACTGAGTGATTGAAGGGGGAGAGGAAGAAGAGACAAGATCAGGGTCATGTCTCTCACAGTCTTGTAAGACTTCAGCTTGTATCCAGAGAGAAATGGGGAGCCATGGAGGATTTGAGGCAGAAGAGTGACACGAGTTGCCTTAGGCTTCAACAGGGTCTCTGCACTGAGACTAGACGGAAGGGCACAGAGGACAAAGAGGCCAGTTAGGAGCCTATGGTAGTGGTCCAGGTGAGACTTGGTGGTGGCAGAAACCAGGTGGGAATTATGGATAACAAGAAAGGCTAAGAGTGGGCAAGTCCTTCCCTGATCTACTCTGAGTTCTGGGCTTTGGTGACTGACATTCCCATCTATTCACTGCCTGTGTAACTTTGAGCAAGTTTCTTAACTTTTCTAGGCCTCAGTTTTCCTCATCTGTAAAATAGAAACCCCTCGACACACACACACTCACCCACCTCAGTGGGTTTGGGGAAGAAAGGATATGTATAGCTTGGTTAACAAGGACCATAGCACACAGGAAGTTCTCCAAAAGAGATTTTCAAAAGGTGTTCATGCCTGAGAAGCTTGCTGTTTTTGCCATGTCCTTGATCAGGCACTCAGTGAGCTAAGTGTTTTCTTTCTTCATAATGGGAAACTATTAAGGGAAATTTCCAGAGGAAGAGGCAAGGGGATAGGTGGGGGTTGAGGGCACTGGCTGAGACAGTGACCATGAACAAATGTCCACAGAACAGGAACAAACACCAGCCCTAGAGATAGATAGTGAGCCCCAGGTTCAAATCCCCCTTCCCCAGACACCCTTTCACCAAGCAGTACAAACAAGTCACATAACCTCTTCTAAGACTTTAGCTTCCTCTTCAGCTGGGTGAAAATCAAACCTCCAGCTTCCCTCAATCGTGAGGAAAATCCCAAGCAGTATTTATGACAGAGCTTTCAACCCTGACACGTGAACAAGTATGACATCAAATTATTGTTATTATTCTGTTGTTGTTAAGGAGGTAAACAGTCGAATTTCCAGCTCCCCTAAAGTCATCCCAGCCTCCTCCTGGGTCTGTCTGACAGCCCCACCCCTGGGCCACTCCAGCCTGGCGGTGCCAGGTGAATGCTCAGGTATGCGGAGGCGGGATGGCCCTGGGAGGGCAGGGGGGAGGGGCCAGCAGCCTGAAAAGGTAAAGAGAGCTCAGAGCAGGGCAGAACCTGACCGGCAGGTGAGAGATCTGGGTCCTGGAGGGGAAGGGGTGGGGGAGAAAGGGCTCAGGGCCTGGACCCCTGGGTCTGGGGGAGGAGGGATCGGGGCCAAACCCTTGAGTCTGACGGAGGAGGGGCTGGGGCCTGAAGTCCTGGATCTGAGGGAGGAGGGGTTGGGGCAGGACCCTTAGGTCTGAGATCAGGAACTAGAGGTTCCTACAGGCCAGGTCAAGCCCTCACATATTTGCTGGCTCCCAGGGCACTTCCAGGTGGGCAGGAGTTCACCATTCTCAGCACCATGAGCACCACCACCGGGTAGGTGTCCCCTGCCCACTGGGCCTCCGGCCCCATCACACTTGCTCCCAACCCCTCACCCATACCCATAGAACCTCTTAAAAGCAGCCCTCCCCCTCTCCCCCCCACCCCCAGGCCCAGCCACTCAGGAGGATGCCTAAGCTGCTTCCCTCCCTTCCTTCCCCAGTCTGTGGTTAGGATCTCCCTCTCTGGAGCAGACAGGCCTGGGTTCAAATCCAGGAACTCTCACTCAACAGTGGTGTGACCCTGGTGGAAGAGCATCACCTTTTTGAGCCTTAGCCCTCCTCTGAGAAACAGGGGCATTTTTTTGAGCTTAGCAGGATCAAGCATGCACAGACCTCAGCAGAGAACCTCAGGACAGCAGGTGCTCCACTCACAGGACCACTGTTGCTATTGTTGTCATTACCTAGTAATTAAATATTGGCGCTTTACTAGAAAATCGGGAATGGTTAGAATGCAGACTCCCAGAATGAGCAGGGGGAGGGCAAAAGAGAGATGAGAGAAAAGGGCTGTGTGACAGGTAGTGAGCTTTCCAGCCCAAAGATAATCAAATTGTCAAATCAGACAGGTCTGGCAGGAGCAGGATAAGGAGTGAGATGAGAAGCAGGAATTTGGCTAAAAGGGTTTTTTAGTCCCCCTCACCCCACCTGAGTGTTTAGCTTCTCTTATTTCTGAAGAAAGAATTCAAAGATTCCTGTTAGAGATGGCTCACACCTGTGACCCTAGCACTCTGGAAGGCCAAGGCAGGTGGATTGCCTGAGCTCACCAGTTCAGTTGGAGACCAGCCTGAGCAAGAGTGAGACCCCCCCCCATCTCTAAAAATAGTCAGGAGTAGTGGCAGGCGCCTGTAATCCCAGCTACTCAGGAAGCTGAGGCAAGAGAATCATTGAGCCCAAGAGTTTGAGGTTTCTGTGAGCTATGACTCCACAGCACTCTACTAAGGGCAACAAAGGGAGACGCTGTCTCAAAAAAAAAAAATTCCTCTTAGAGACAGTGATCTAGAGGAAGTGGTTGAAGACAGGAGGAGACAGAAAAGGATGTGGCCAGGAAACACCTGGTCATGGGAGTAGGAGGGGAAGAAGATAATTCCCTATTTACCCCAGATACTACTAATGCTATTGGAATAATTCCCATTTATTGAGCAACTATTTGTACTAAGCCTTTTGCATCATCACAAGAATGATAATAATTATTGAGGCTTCAGAATAACTCACCTGCACCATCTGATTGAATTTGCCCAACAGCTCCACTAGACGGATGCTATCTTACAGAAAGGAAAACTGAGGCAGAAGAGTTTATGTCCTCTACCCACAGTCTTTTTTTTTTGAGACAGAGCCTCAAGCTATCCCCCTGGGTAGAGTGCTGTGGCATCACAGCTCACAGCAACCTCCAACTCCTGGGCTCAAGCGAGTCTCCTGCCTCAGCCTCCCAAGTAGCTGGGACCACAGGCACGCGCCACAACATCCGGCTATTATTTTTTGGTTGAAGCCGTCATTGTTGTTTGGCAGGCCCAGGCTGGATTCAAACCCGCCACCTTGGGTGTACGTGGCTGGCACCTTAGTCACTTGAGCCACAGGTGCTGAGCCTCCTACCCAGGGTCTTATAGCAAGGAAGTAGCAGACAGAGGGTTTGAATGCAGCTCTATGTGACAGTAGAGACCACACTTCCCACCACCAGTACCACCACCTTACCTGTCGTCTTAAAGCCCCACTCTGGCCCTGAGCTCACCTGCTCAGAATGCTCGACAGCTCCCCATTACCCTCATAGTTAAGTCCTTGCTTCTCTACTTGGCATTCCCGCAGGACATATCCCCAATTTCCACAGTCCCTCTCACCTCCTTTTTCCTTCAACAGTCCAGAAGCTGCCCCGAAGCCAAGTGCAAAGTCCATCTATGGTGAGTATGGGGTCAAAGAAACCCCAGGCCTCCAGAAGGTGGATCTGGGGAAACTGAGTACCTGGCATCCAAGGTCTTGGGAGAGGAAGGGCTGGGGACCCAGACTCCTGGGTCTAAGGCAGGAGGGGCTGTGGCCTGGACTCCTGGGCTCATTCTCCTTCTCCCTCCACAGAGCAGAGGAAGCGTTACTCCACTGTGGTCATGGCTGATGTATCTCAGTATCCAGTCAATGTGAGTCGGCTTTTGTCCCAGAGTGTTCTTGTACAAAAGTAGAGCAACCTTCTACTTAAAGGTGGTGACCTAAGGAGATAGATAGGGCTATTGAAAGCAGTTGGGCCCCAAGCAAACAGAATTTAGGAAACTCAGTTTGCTCATCAACAAAACTGATTTCCTCTGCCTTGCCTGAGACATGGATCTGAAGTTTAGGGCCCCAGTTCCTCTCAAATCTGGGACCCTTTCCTCTGGACCAGCTATTATGCTGGATAGTCAGGCCATAGGAACAAATCAGACACAGTCCAGAACAAGCAAGGTGTACACAAGGTCCAGACATAGGGTGCCAGGAACTCTAGCTGAGGTGCCAGAGGGCACCGTGGGAGACCTAAGGAGGCAGTTAGAAGGAATTAGATATAATCCCAGGGAAGCCTCCAGTCTTGGTGAGAAGGCAGACACAGGAGCTGTTTCCTCCAATCAAGGAATCAGAGGGCATGGAAGGAGGGGCAGATTTGTGGAGCAGGAGATCCAAGAAGGCTTCCTGGAGGAGTCATGGTTAGTCTCCAGCTGGAAGTCTGACTTTAAGGGATTCTGAGCCCACCTGGCATTATCCCAGCACTCACTGCTTTCTCTGTGGCTTATGACAGCACCTGGTGACATTCTGCCTGGGTGAGGAGGATGGCGTACACACTGTGGAGGATGCCTCCAGGAAACTCGCTGTCATGGACAGCCAGGGCCGAGTCTGGGCACAGGAGATGCTGCTGCGCGTGTCCCCGGACCATGTCACCCTGCTCGACCCAGCTTCCAAGGTGCCAGGGGGCACGTGGTTGGGAGCAGTGTCCGGGCCCGAGTGCAGGGACTTTAGGGATCTGTGTGGGAGTCTTGGCTTCTGCGTGCCCTTCCTCTGGGTACTCTGGCAAGGGACCCAGCTCCCCTTTCTGAGCCATACTGGCCTCATCTGTTTCTTTCTTCCCATTCCTAACCTCGTGAGTTTGTCCTGCCCAGCTCTGGTACCCACTGGGCTGCACTGCCATTGCCATTTAGTAGTAGTAGCGGTCTCAGGCCTCAGTTTACCCCGCCGTGACACCAGGGTAGGAGGTGGGCGGGATCTCTGGAAGCCAGTCTCCCCTCTGTGGGACTCCGTGCATACAGGAGGAGCTGGAGTCATACCCGCTGGGCGCCATCGTGCGTTGTGACGTGGTTGTGCCACCCGGCCGGACCCGCTCGCTGCTGTTGCTGGTGTGCCAGGAGCCCGAGCGCGCGCAGCCGGACGTGCACTTCTTTCAGGGCCTGCGACTGGGGGTGAGTGCACCGCGGATCCCATCTGTGGCGGGGCGTTGTCTGGGAGCCGGGGGCTAGGAGTGGGGACTAGATCTGGGAAAATGTGCTGGAAGGGAGGGGCGTTCGAGGACACGACGCAGGGCCAAGATAGAACAGGAGGACAGGAATGTAGTGAGAGACTGAGCGCTTGAGTCCTAGGAGTACTAGGACGTGAACAGAACTTGGAAATGACGATGGGGCACCTGGTCTGGGGAAGAGGACCCACCCAACTGGGTCTCATGGGCAGGGCCATCGCCTAAGGAAGATTTAGGGCGAAGACATGAATTCAGGGCGTGGTCGTGCGTGGCTCCTCAGGCGTGAGCAATGACAGCACACGGCCTGGGAATCGATCAGGAACGTGGCTCAGGGCGGGCAGTAAGTGTGGCATATAAGAGGAGTGCCCTGATTGCGTAATCGGCAGGCGGAGCTGATCCGGGAGGACATCCAGGGAGCTCTGCACAACTACCGTTCCGGCCGCAGCGAGCGCAGGGCGGCGGCGCTCAGGTGAGGGCGCTGGAGAGGGAGAGGAGAGGGAAGGAGGTGGGCGGGATCTCTGGAAGCCAGTTTCCCTCTGTGGGACTCCGTGCTCACCTGTGAAATGAGCTGATACCACCAGCCTAGAGCGGAATGTACCTATCATACAAGCTGACCCCCTTCTCCAAGACACTAGTGCTCGACTTCTGTCCTAGTGCTCGACTTCTCCCCCTTCTGGCCTCAGTTTCCCTTAGAGAGGTTCTCTCCTCCCCATATAGGATTTCTCCCTACCTCTTTGAGTCTCTGAGTGACCCTTTTGAGATTCAGGGCCTCTCTTGTTTTAAGCAGTGAATTTCCCCTTCCCTGGACTCCTCACCTGACTCAGACTCAGTTTCCCCTTCTCCCTCCACAGGGCCACGCAGGAAGAGCTGCAGCGCGGCCCCTCGCCTGCCGCCGAGACTCCGCCCCTGCAGCGCCGCCCGTCTGTCCGCGCTGTTATCAGCACAGTGGAGCCGGGTGCTGCCCGCGGGAGACCCCAAGCGGAGCCCATTCCCGAGACGGAGGAGGCGCCAAAGCCTGTCCCAGCGGGGACCTCGAGTAGCGCTGACCCGGCCTCCCCGGATCTGGGTCCCCGGGGTCCAGACCTGACCAGTCTGCAGGCGGAGCGGGATGTGGTGAGCGCAGAGAGGCCAGAACTGAAGGACTGGGGGCCGGGACCACTCGACTGGAGGCGAGGCTAGGACATGGGTACCAGACCCGCTGTAGGGCGTTCGTCAAGTCAATCATGTCAGACTCTGGGTTCTGGAGGCGGGACTGAGTTTGGGAGTCTGTCTTGGCTCCCCAGGCCAGACGACTAGGGTCCTGCCCTGGGAGGTGGGGCGTGTCTAGAGTGGTCTGTTTCTGGACTTCTACAGGGTTGAGGGGCTGGGATTCAGGAACGCAAACGTCCGCCTTCTGTTTCCCCAGGACATCCTGAACCACGTGTTTGACGACGTTGAGAACTTCGTGTCCAGGCTGCAGAAGTCGGCGGAGGCGGCCCGAGTGCTAGAGCACCGCGAGCGGGGTCGCAGGACCCGGCGCAGGGCGGCCGGCGGTAAGGGGCGCCCCGCGTGAGATGTTGCATACCCTCGCTCCTCCCAGGCTCTCCCCTCTCGCCTCCTGCCAGGCGTCTTCTCATTGCGATCTCACTGGGTGTATACTGTCCTCTCTCTCTGATGCGCCGGTGACCCCATCCCCACGCCCGCCCCCTACGCGCAGACGGGCTGCTAACGCTGCGGGCCAAGCCCCCCACGGAGGCAGAGTACACCGACGTACTCCAGAAAATCAAGTACGCCTTCAGCCTACTGGTGAGCACGCGAGCGTCCCAGACGTCGGGGAGGTAGGGATGGAGAACCAGACCAGTTCGCGCCCCGATACCTACACGTCTCCCCCACCCCAGGCCCGGCTGCGCGGCAACATCGCCAACCCCTCGTCCCCGGAGCTGCTGCACTTCCTGTTCGGACCCCTGCAGATGGTGAGGGTTCTCCCTCCACGTCCTCAGCTTCTAATGCAGCCAGAGGAATCTGGGTTGAGCTTCGAGAGGGTCTGATGTTACGGTACGCCCGCTTCCGCTGCCCTGGCAGATCGTGAACACTTCAGGCGGCCCGGAGTTCGCGAGCGGTGTGAGGCGGCCGCACTTGACGTGTGAAGCCGTGGCACTGCTGCGAGACAACGTCACTCCGCTGGAAAACGCGCTCTGGACCTCGCTCGGGGACTCATGGACCCGTCCAGGGTAAGGGGCGGGGCTGAGAAGCAGAGGACGAGGTGATTGGAGGAGCATGAGAGGCTGGAAGGGGGCGAGGGGCGGTCATTGTAAAGAAGGTGAGACTAGAAGGAACCGGATTAAAGGCTGGAATTAGCTGGGGAGGGAGATTTAGGACAAATGCCAGGATTCTATTGGGAAAAAGACAAGAAATTAGCGTGAAGGAAAGGCTTAAGACTGAACGAGACAATCAGTTGGAACAAAAGGCGGGGTTTAGAGCCACGGGGCTGGACGTTGGTGGGCGCGGGGCTTCAATAAAAGGAGCGAGGATACGTGGAAGAGGCCCAAGATCTACAAAACGTTGTATCTGAGAGTCTGGAGAACCAAAGGAGTCTGAGCATTTGTAGAAAGAACATCATAGGGAAAGGAGTAAAACCAAGGTCAGCTTAGGGGAAACCTGGTTTGGAATCAGAAGTGAGATGTAGAGGCTGGACCGAGCACTAGAGTGCAAGTGCTGTGTTTAGAAATATAACTGATGTGAGTTAGAGAAAAGGGGCGAGGTTAGTCTAGTACAGATAGGACGAGGATAAGACTTTAGTGAGGTTGGTGACAGGACTAAGTCGGGCCACACCAGGATCCTTGAGCCTTGGCCCTGTCCCTGGCGGCAGGCTAGGGCTACCCTTGGAGGAGGGACCCCCATACAGCCCCGAGTTCTACAGCGGCTGGGAACCCCCGGCCACCGACCCTCAGGGCCGCACCTGGGAAGACCCAGTGGAGAAACAACTACAGCACGAGCGGAGGCGCCGGCAGGTAAGGCTGAGGCTTTCCTGGGAGCAGCAAGCTCCCCTCAGGTGACACAGCAGGAGGGCCAGCTGATAGGGGCACAGGGCAGCCCAGCCTGAACCTGCTCTCTTAACTTCTGCAGCAAAGCGCCCCCCAGGTTGCTGTCAATGGGTGAGTGTCCGCCTCTGAGCGGGACAGGGGAGTGCCTAGGAGGGTTGTGTCCCAGGGGTTCCTGGCACTAACTTCATCCCCTCCCATTTTTTCCTGTCATTTCCCTTGTCTTCCTGGTTCTTCTCAGGTGGGTGAGGTGGTGACAAGAGGGGAGGAGCTGGGAGAGGGGGGAGAAGCAGGGAGGGAGGGGAGCAGGGCCTAGATTTCTGGGCCCATGGGAGGAGGGAGTGGAAGCCCAGATGCCAGAGCTTAAAGGAGGAAGGGGCTGGGAGTGGGTAAAGTTTGAGAGGTGGACCTCTGTATCCTCAAAAGGTGAAAAGAAAGCAGAGAAACTCCGTGCCCTGGTCCCTGCAAGGACAGAGCTCTGGGTTTTAGAAGGGGCTGGAGAATTTGGACTTTTGGGTTTTGAAAAAGAGCTCAAGTCTCTTTGGGATCCTGGTGACCCAGAGGGGCAGGCTTGAGACTTTGAAGGCATTGGGGCAAGTTTCTGGGGAAGTTAGGAAGGGTAGCATCCTTGGGCCCTAAGAGAGTGAAAGGTGGGGCAGCTAAAGTCTTGTCTAAGTCCCTGCTGTATGTCAGACTAGGCAGATTTATGGGTTAAAATGGTGAGGAATTGAAGCTTGAGACCTGGACTCCTGGGTCCCTGGGGGAGGAAAGAACTAGAGACCTAAATTCAGGTTCTGATAAGCAGTGGGGGTTCAGACTTGGGAGTCCTAAAGGAGGGTGTAGAGGAGCCAAAACTCTAGGGTCCTTGGGCAAGCAGCGGGCAGATTGGAGTGAAGCAACGTGGCATGAGAAGAAAACAAAACAGAGACAAGGGAGGGTCTAAAAGAAGTTCCAGACAGAGGGTCTTAGCAGGTACAGCATGCTGGGAGCTGCTGGCCCCACACAGGGGGTGCCGCGGCTCTGAAGACCCCCCCTCTCCCCTGAACAGGTAGGCCTGATCTGGGCTAAGGTCCCTCTTATTGGTGTTCAGAGTTGAAATCCTGCCCTGCCCCCAGCTGCCTGGTTTTGCAACCCTCCTCCCTGCTCCTCTTGGCCTTTTGAATCTTGATCTTGACACCTCTTACTTTTAAGTCACATTTTCTGAGCCTCATGTTCTTTGCAGGGAAATTGGGAACAATGATAATCCTTTCCAGATAGGTGATAAGTCTATGATGTTCCAGGGACTAGTAGTTAAGAGCTCAAGGCTGGCCGGGTGCGGGTGGCTCACTCTTATAATCCTACATTCTGGGAGGCTAAGGTGGGTGGATAGCTTGAGCTCACACGTTTGAGATCAGCCTGAGCAAAAGCGAGACCCCTAACTCTACTAAAATTAGAAAAACTGAGGCAAGAGGATAGCTTAAGCCTGAGTTGGAGGTTGCTGTGAGCTATGATGCCACAGCACTCTACCCAGGGTGACAGCTTGAGATTCTCTTTAAAAAAAAAAAAAACTCAAGGCAGTGGCTGAACTCAGGTTCAAATCCAGAGGCACACAAAGTAAAGCAGCTAGTTACTCAGACATGAACTGCCTGGGTCCCAAGCTGACTATGCCAATCTTTTGCTCTGGAACCTTTACATCATGGTGCTTTGACCCTCTCACCTATAAAAATGGAGATGATAATGGAGTTTCTGGGGGAGAAAGGACCTGGAGGTCCAAATTCACAGTTCTACTGAGGGTTATCATGAAAATCAGCTAATTATGTGATAGACTTTGAATAGCACCTGGTGCACAGTAAGTACTACATAAGTGATGGCTACTGCTTTTATTATACTCATGAGTTGTCATGGATTGATACATGAGCCCAGCACCTAATAGATGCTCAACAGCAGTTGTTTCTAGCTACATGATCTGGGGCAAATGATTTTCCCTCTCTGAGCCTCAATGATCTCATCTATAAAATGAAATTGATGATATGACAGTACCCGTATTATACACTGACAGCATGATGCCAGGCAAGGTGGGGAGCAAAATATATTCAAGCTATTATTCCAATTTCAGATTTCTAGTAACAAATTAACCTGGCCCCCGGCTGTGCCCCTGCTTGGCTCTAACCCCAGCTCACACCAGCACCCTGCAGCCCAAGGCAATGGGGCTGGTTGTCTCCTTATCTCCAAACCTTCTTGCTTTTCCTCAGTCACCAAGATCCAGAACTGGAATCTGAGCCCCACTTGGAGCCAGAGCCAGCAGGAAGGTGGGTCCTGTGTAATTATGACTTCCAGGCCCGCAACAGCAGCGAGCTATCTGTCAAACAACAGGATATATTGGAGGTTAGTAATGTAGAAGACTGAGGGGCTGGAAGTGGCCTAAACTGCAGACCCAGGCTCTGAGCCCTCTCCATATTGCACCCAGGTCTTGGATGACAGGCGCAAGTGGTGGAAGGTCCGGAACTACCAAGGACAGGAGGGATATGTACCCTATAACATCTTGACACCGCACCCAGGACCCCAGGTGGACCGCAGCCAAAGTCCTGCCTGCAGCCTGGTGAGCAATGAGAGGCTGGGGGCAGATGTTGGGTCCTGAGAAGTTCAGGTGTCAAGAATACTGACAGAGGAGGTGACTGGAGGTTAGAAATTTCTTTCCCTGGATGTCAGTTTTTTTTTTTTTTTTAATTATTTCCCGAAGAGGGAGGGAGGGTCTGGGACTCTGAGACCTCTCCATGATGAAGGTACTCTCCCCGCTTTTCCCTCTAGGATAGCACTCCTCCTCCCCCACCAGCCCTGGCCCCAGATCCTACTCCAATCCGGCCCCACTGGGATAGCTGTGATAGCCTCAATAACTTGGACCCCAGCGAGAAGGGTGAGCAGTGAGGGGAAGCAGACTTTGTCCTCGCTTTCCAGACAGGGAATCCAAGGTTCCGAAAGAGGAAATGGATTCCTGACCCATCCTGGGGACGCTAGAGGCTCCCGACCCTGTGGCCCCAGGACCCCTCGCCCTGACTCCTTCCCTCCTGGTTTCTCACCTGCAGAGAAATTCTCCCAGATGCTCAGTGTCAACGAGGAGCTGCAGGCCCGCCTGGCCCAGGGCCGCTCGGGCCCGAGCCGCCCAGTTCCCGGGCCCCGCGCCCAGGAACTGCAGCTCAGCCCGCGCTCGGACGCCTCAGAGGTTCGCACCTGGCTGCAAGCCAAGGGCTTTAGCACTGGGTGAGTGAGGAGGGACCCAGTTTGTGGCAGTAACCTAGGAGAGCTAGGCGCAGCGCGTTCCGATTGGCCTGGAGTAGGGAGATGGGTGTGTAGACCGCAGGAAGGTGGCTTTGGGTCGCAAGGGTCGGTCTGGATGCAACCACGGATGACAGGTTGTGATTGGCACGTTTCTCCAAACTCTGATTGGAGTCCTCTGGAAAGTGCCGCCCCCTTCTGAAGGCAGGGTGCAGCCACGCCCCCCAATGGCGCATTGCGAGTGGCAGGTGGGGCTTTACTTCTGTAGCTCCCTGATTTAGCTAATGTTGTTCTGATTGGACAACGGGCAGGTGGGCATGGCTTGATTAGCAAGGCAGGCCGGCATAAGCAGTGATTGGCTCCCGTTGCCCTCAGGACCGTGGACGCCCTAGGTGTGCTGACAGGGGCGCAGCTTTTCTCGCTGCAGAAGGAGGAGTTTCGGGCGGTGAGCCCAGAGGAGGGCGCACGTGTATATAGCCAGGTCACTGTGCAGCGCGCGCTGTTGGAGGTGAGCTGGGGTTACTCATTCCCAGGTTGAGATGGGGTGGGGAAGGCCAAAGTCTGGGAAACCAGGGTCCTGATTCCCCCACCCCACTCCAGGACAAAGAGAAAGTGTCAGAGCTGGAGGCGGTGATGGAGAAGCAAAAGAAGAAGGTGGAAGGCGAGATGGAAATGGAGGTCATTTGACCCTTCTTGGCTCCTTTGTAAAAAGTGACAAGGCCCCGTGGGAGAATGGACTCCAGATTCTTCCCACCAGTTAAGTTGATCCTTTGAGGGATTGCTGATCAGACCCTGCCCTGGTCTTCCATCCTAGTGGACACACTGAACAATCCTTGCTGGAGTTCCCTCCTGAAAATCCAGACTGTTTGGAAGTGGGGGGCACCGCAGAGACAATTTATGGAATGAACTAGTGGGCATCCCCAGAGAGGAAGACTCAGGAGCCCTGCGCATTGTAATATGCTGCCCAGTCTATAAACAGCCTCCTTTTAGCAGGCAATGTCAACTGCTGTCCCTTCTCTGCCTGGCTGCCAACCAGAGAGCCCCAAAACCTGCGCACCTCATAGGAGGATGTCTCACCTCTATAGTCTCTCTCAACCTTCCACTTCACCCCTAGGGTCTCAACCCAGGCTTCTTCCTGACCTCTCAGCCCCTAGTCCATCCTACAGCTTGCCCCATCTTGTGAACACCATCCCCTGCTCAAAACCCTTCCCTGATTCCCCAATGCACTCTTAGCTCTGTAGCCCACCATTTGAGGCCTTGCATGTTTCCTTGCCCACCTCTCCAGCCTCATCTCTCACATCAACCCTCTGCATTCTGGTCCTCCCTGGTCTACTCCCAAGCTCTCCCATCAGATTTCCTGCTGCCCTCCAGCCCCTCTCCCTGGAGTTCACTTTCTACCTGAGGCACCTGATAGCACCCTCCATAGGACAGAATGAGAGAAACAGCCTGGGCAGGAAAGAAGCTCTGACTCTCAGTCCTTACTTTTCTGCCTCCTGCCTCAGTTTCCATCTGGAAACTGACTATTTATTTATTTTGAGACAGTCTCACTTTGTCGACCTCAATAGAGTGCCATGGCATCATAGCTCCCAGCAACCTCAAACTCCTGAGCTTAAGCAATTCTCTTGCTTCAGCCTCCCAAGTAGCTAGGACTATAGGCGCTTGCCACAGTGCCCGGCTATTTTTAGAGATGAGGTCTCACTCTGGCTCAGTCTGGTCTCAAACCTGTGAGCTAAGGCAATCCACCTGCCTCAGCCTCCCAGAATGCTAGGATTACAGGCCTAGAACCTGACCATTTTAGACATCCAAGACCCCTTTCCACATCAGCCTTGCCCCCATCCCCTACTCACATACCTGCCTTAGCTCCCCATGGTCCATCAGATAAAATCCAAGCCCCATCTTGGGGTCAAGAATTGGTGACTGCCAGGCTTCCTAGGCCACAGGGCTCTCATTCCTCTTCTTACCAGGCCTTGGTTCATGCTGTTCCTTCTACCCAGAATAACATTGGCCCTAGAGGGTGTGCAATCATCCTTCAACTTCTTGCCTAGGGCCCTACCTTTTATTTCTAAGAGAGGTCCCAGAAATACAAGGGACCCAAACCTTGCTGCATTTCTCCCACCTCCATATGGCCCATGGCTCACATCTGAGCTGCAAACTGAAATGCCCATAGGAACCAGACAAGAGACCCATAAACCAGGCTTCAGCCCTACTCCCAACACAAACCAACTCATGGAAACATCCTGACAGCCACATCTTCCAATATTCCCAGGATCGGACCATTTCTCACCATCTCCACTGTCATCACCCTGGTCAAAAACACCATAGTCTCCTGTTGGGACTGTACCAGTAATATCTTTATCACGAAGTCCCAGTCCATTCTCAGCACAGCAGCCAGAAGGACCAAAGAAAACCTGTCACCCGAGGCCCCTTCACAGCCCAAGTCCTTACCAGGGCCACTAACCTCATCTACCCCCTGCTACCTCCAGCCTTACTGCACCTCAGCCTGGCAAGCATGCGTCTATTCCAGGCCTTTGCACATGTGGTTCTCATCATCTACACGACCCTACCCTCAAACACCTACACAGCTCACTTGCTGCAACCTCCAAGTATCTGTTTGTGCCAATCTAGACCACCCTGAAATAGGTGCGTGTGCCCCCCCCCCGCCCACTCCTCCAGGGCACCACCACCTGAAACACATTTGCTTTAGCACCAGATGCTTCCCTTCTACAAGGTATTGGGTCTTTGCCTGTTTTGTTTGCTACTGTCACACCAGAGGGTAAAACAGGACCTTGTAAGTAGAATGTGACCAGCAGTTATTAAAGAAGAGGTGACAGAATGAACAAATCCCCCATCTAAGACAGCTTCTACTCAGCTACAGTCAATTGTTGCCATGCAGGCAGGACTGAAAGCTCATAGCTTCCTTTTTTTTTTTTAAACAAAATCCAAAACTCCTGATATTTATATGTAAAGTGCTCAAGTTTAAAGGTTGGCAATTGTTTCAAAGGCACTGATGGCCTACATAAGCTCCCAGCTCAACATTCACAGCCCCCAGGGTCTTATCTGGCTGATCCTACACTGTCAGCCTCTCCACTGACCACCTTGCCCTGTGATGATACCAGCCCTGGCTTGAGACCTTTGTTCCAACTGGACACTCCTCCTGAAGTTCCCTCCCAACACCTGTGAGCATCATCCCTTGGCACTCCACCCAAATGGCCCAGTGGTTTGGTCATGGACACGCAGAGCCCTTGAGCACAGAAGCAGGAAATAGTGCCCTACCTCTGGCTGGGGCACAGTCACTGAGTGGCAACTTCACAATTTTTATTTGAGGTGCCTGTGCTTTGTCTCGAAAATACCTTCTCCCCCTGCCCCAGACAGTGGGTTGGGAGGGGGCAGCAAAAAATAGAAGACATCCCTCCCTATTGCACATGGACCCTATATACAGCCCCACCTGGCTGAGGCCAGTGGGGCTCTTGGCACATTCTTGGATCCCTGCTCAAGAGGGGCAGGGGTGATTGGGTGGCATCACACGTGAGGTAGGGACCTCTGGGCAGCTACTCTGGTCCTGGCTACTGATCCTTGAGCTTCTTGGTCCTCAGTTCCTTCCTGGTCCTATCTCCAGCCCTGGTCCCTTCTGGCGATGTTCCCCTTACCTGAGTGGGCCTCCCACCTCCATCATGGCCTCAGGTAGCTCCCTTGGCTTCTGGGGACTGTGCTCGCCTCCTAGTCCAGAGATCCCAAGAGGAGGTTATGGCTTCTCAGAGACTTTCCCTGGAGCCCTGTCACTCGTGTTCAAGTGGGGGAAGGGGTGCATGTGACAGAAGCAGCTGTATAAATACGGGTGTGGGAAAGTCCCCCAGAGTCACTTGGAAAGTTTGCTGATGACACGGATCAGCGCTGCATTCTCATCCTTGAGACGCTGGTTATCAGCGCGGAGGTCAGACAGGGCCTGGGGGAAAGGACAAGGTCAGCTGAGTGGCTCTGGCAGGCTGAGCCCCTACCCACCCTCGTCCTCTGCTCGCAGCACCCCATGAGGGCCCACCTTTAGCTCCTCCTCCAGCTCTGCAGCCTTGCGCTCCAGGGCCCGTCGCTCCTGGAATGAATGGGGAAGGTGAAACAGTGAGGCTAAGAATTATGGGGAAAGCTGAGGGACAGCTTAGAACAGCAGTGTGGCTCCCTTGGTTGACCCTTGTGGGTATAAGGCCAGGGATACCTCTGGCACCCATCCCAGCTACCACTACTCACAAATCTCTCCAGCTCTAGAAGGGCCGGCCTCTCAGCAAAGCGTTCCTGCCTCTGGTGAGGACAGAGAAAGACCAGGAGTCAGGAAGGAGAAGCGAAGATCACAGTAGGGAATTTTCAGGCCGTACCCTCAAGGTCCTAGCCCCACTCCCCCGAAAAGCTGAACCCAGCTCAAACTCCACTTATCACTCAGACTCTGTCTCCCTAAGGTCCCACCCTCTTTTTTTTTGAGACAGTCTCACTATATCGTCCTTGGTATAGAGTGCCATAACATCACAGCTCACAGCAACCTCAAACTCTTGGGCTCAAGTTTCTCCTGCCTCACCCTCCTGAGTAGCTGGGACTACAAGCCTGAGCCAGGTTCAAACCCACGTGCCCCAGTGTATGTGGGTGGCATCCTAACCACTAAGCTAAGGGCGCCCAGCCAGGTCCTACCCTTTCAAAAGCTGAGCCCAGTTCAGACTCCCTCCAGAGTCAGGCCCTGCCTCTCAGAAGCCCTAGCCTCAGGCCTCATTGCTCACACACCACCTTCTACAGACTCTACCGCCCAGAAGCCGAAACCCCACCCCTCTCTTCGCCCCCATTGCTCAGACCTCACCTCCTTAGTTCTTGGCCCCACCCCCTTTGCTCAGACACCACCCCCAACCAGGCCCTAGCCAAACCGCAAGCCAGGAAGAGCCCAGCCCAGACCGCCCCTCTTATCTCAGGCTCTGCCTCCCAGCGGTCCCTGCCACATCCAGGGCCTCGGCCTCTGACCTGCGTGGCCCGTTCCAGCTCCACCTTGAGTTGTGCCAGCCGCAGAGTGGTCTCAGTTAGGGCCTCTCGGAGCCGCTCATTCTCCCTGCGCAGCTCCACATACAGCTGAGGGCAAAGAGGAGGCAGGAGGTCAGGCTTGCCAGCCCTGGGTACAACAGGTTGGGAGAGGCGGGACAAGGCGGTATGAGGACATCTAGCAGACAGAGCCACCCAACAGGAGACAGTAAGGCAGGAAAATAAAGGGTGATAGGGATGGTATTAATGGCACCAATGGTGGAGTGGGAATCCCGAACCTTTCGGAAGCCTCCATCAGGCTGCTCTGATTCTGGCTCAGAGTCTGGGTTGAGATTCTGCTGCCTGCGGGCTGAGGGTCTGTACTCAAGAGTGCTGCGGAGGGTAGAACATGGTCAGGGCACCTGCAGCCCCACGCACTGCCCAACCCCTTCCCTGCCTCCGCCCCTACCTGGACTCCAGGCTACCGGATGCCGGCTCCGCCTCCTCCCCCTGAGGATGATGGGCTTGAGAGTGTGGCTTGGCACATTTGGGATGGGGTGGTCCCACACCAGGCCCACCCTCAGCACCAGCTCAGCCCACCTGAGCCCCTCACCTCCGCAGGCCCCCGCCACTCCTTGCCGACCTTGTGGTGCTCCCCAGCAGCATGTGGTCCCTGCCCCTGCCCATCAGGCGCCTCTGCTGGGGGAGGGGCAGGAGTCAGCCCAAACACCTCTGGAGGGGGCCACCTCTACAATGTCTGGTTCCTGCACCCAATCCCTCAGGAAAAGAGGAAGACTTCATGGGACAAAGTGGGTTGGTCCCTGGCAGTATCTTCCCCAGAGAGCAGACCTCACCTCTCTGGGCAGGGCCGTCAGCAATCTCAACTCCAGGGACTCGGGGCCTGCGAGAAGGTTCCTACCAGAGGGGTGGAGGCAGAGTCAGGCACAGGGACCCTGCACTACCCACTGCACCCTCATCTAACCCGGCTTACCAGGCTGTGCA